TTGCGGCTATTCAAAACACAAAAACCGTTCGTATCGATATACTTAATCATTCTTAGAAAGAGAGTTTGCTATTAAAGTGTGAAGCAGGTGAATTATTGCAATTTTCGTCGATATTAACATTTTAAAGTGTTCCTTTGGGATATATTACAAAATTGAATTATAACTGCGACCGTATTGTTTGGAAACTGTGCTAACGGCTCATAGTTTCGGCTGCATTGCTGGATTTAAAGACATCTGCCCACATTTTCAACACCTAGATAAATTATACAAGCTATTATATGTATATAGCTCACTATCAAGCCACCCTCCAACCACGTAAGTCATTATTTGTTGTTTTCCGCGATCGACAAGACCTTAACAATGGTGTAAATCTCGATTTATGGTGCATATTCTGGTGCATTGTGCAGCCTTTCTACCTGTCATCTCTACACCTAATAGTTGCGGCAGAAAGGTGAATACTGGCTGATTGGCTTACAAATCGTACGACTCGGAAATACTCGGAAACTATACCGGCTGTCCCGTCAAACTGCTCCGCCATTTTGTTGTACCTCGACGTTGAACATCCACAGATAAGCTGTAGTTTTAGTTACATTTTTTTTTCTTTAATTATATTGGATTTATTATCCCAACTTTTCTAAACCTATACCTATATAAATACGTATTATTTTTGGTCTGATGCGTGATAATTCATACCAATGAAGATATTTAGCGTAATTTTGTCTTGATACACGTCTATGACCGTTCCCTATACCTATATATATACAAAAGTATCCGACCTTCCTACATATCTTACAATTTTAGCGCTCTCTGCCGGGTGCGAGTGTCAACTGTAAAGCTTCACGAACTTCACGCCTAGATGCCGCAGTTTTCATCGGGACGTCCTAGTTCTCATGCAGCGTGCGTTTATTTACAAATAATTTATTACGTTCGTCGCATTTTGCTTTTGTAAAAAATGAGGGAAAGATCGAAGCAACGAATTTGCATTAAACTCGAAAAGAGTTGTGGGGGACCTTCGAAATGATGAAGATGGCATTTCGGGACGAATGTATGAGCAAAACACAAATAAAAGAGTAGTATAAGCGGATCAAAGTTGGCCGCACATCTGTTGATAGTAACCCACGCTCTGGGCGGTCTTCGACAACAAAAACACCGGATAATATCGACTGTGTGCGACTTGCGATCAATGAACATCGTCGATTGACTGTGCGAGAACTGGAATGTGATCTTGGAATACCGAAAACTAGTGTTTAGAAGATTTTAACTGAAAATTTGTGAATGGTGCGCGTGTGTACAACTGAAAAAAGCGTGCCAAAGTCGGAGCATGTCAAATCGTTGTTAATTTTTTTTTATTGTGAGGGTATTGTGCACCACGAATGTGCTCCTAGATGCCAGACGATCAACAAGGAATATTATCTTGAAGTTATGAAAAGATTGCGTGACGCAATTAGAAGAAAACGGCATCAGCTTTGGTCAAGCGGTAACTGGCTTTTTCATTACGGTAAGGCGCCAGCGTATGCATCGAATTTCGTGGAGCAATAATTGACAAAGCGCAAAGTTGTACAGCTGAGTCAGCTTTTGTACAGTCCTGACGTAGTTCCCTGCAACTTTTGGCCGTTCCCAAGATTAAAAATGCCGCTCAAAGGATATCGGTTTGACGATAAAAAACTGTCGAAATTAATACGATGAACGCTCTAAAGGCGATACCAAAAACCGAGTTCCAGGACTGCTTCCAAAGGTGGAAAGGCCGTTGTAAGCGTACTCTTCAATCAAAAGGGGATTACTTCGAAGAATGCCACCAGTCCGATAACGCAGAACAACATCAGCGGGGAAATATGAAGGAAGGTCGTTCGTATATAAATTAAAATTAATGAAAATGACGACATTTTCAAAAAGCGACATTTTCAAAAGCTGACGGTGTCGAAGAACATTGTTTGACTTCATTTGATAAGATTTTTTTGAATTTGTTTGAATTGCCTTTACAAAAGTGTAAAAACTTGTGAGAACTAATAAAAGAATATACAGCGTGTCCCACTAGTGCGGGAAAGTCCAATATCTCTTTTTACTGTGTTGCCACATTTCTCGGAATGTACAAATTAAAAATATATTCAACTATACAGGGTGTTCCACTTTTCCTGGCCAGGCACCAACTTTGGTTTTTTAAATAGAAACACACATTTTTTATATTTTTTTTCGGATTCTACATCAAAAATAAAGGGTACTTTTTGTAGAATAGTTCTATTCAAATATTTGGAAATACTAATTTCATCACTAATTTCTCTGACACTTGTAGATGGATTTTGGACTGCACATCCCAAAATGTCAATTTGATTATCCTGATTACTGCATGCGTGTGTTCTTGTTGTCTTCTCATAATCTGTTGTTCTTTTAAACCTCTCCTTCAGTTATACAAAACACTTTGTACGAGGATATCTTTGTAAATCTGGATTATTAGTTTGGTAAATACTTGTCAATAAACAGTTACCATGAGTTTTACTAATTATTCTATTATTTATTTACTAATTCTTCTTTAGAGTAATTCATTTCACAATTATTACTGTCGCTTTTCTATTAAACCTTATGTGAATCGAAAATTTTCCAGATTATCCTTTGATAGGAGCCTACGTTATTTTACATATAAGCTATTTGAAAACATCGCATTTTTTCATAGAAACGAGATTTCATGAAAAACTAATGAATTTTGGTTTAGGAGTAGGTATAGCAAAGTTGTAGAGAATTTAATTCTGCATCTCATGGTATAAAATATACAGGGTGTTGCATTTAAAAAATTGGCAATTTTTACATGATATTTTGGTCATCCTTACTAAACATCTGATAAAAAATGGGCTTAGTAGTTATTAGTATAACCTGTCAGTATAAGTAAATGTAAAAATGTGTGTTTCCATTTAAAAAACCAAAGTTGGTGTCTGGCCAGGAAAAGTGGAACACCATGTATAGTTGAATATATTTTTAATTTGTACATTCCGAGAAATGTGGCAACACAGTAAAAAAAAATTCATATATTCCTCATTTTAACATAGATATTGGACTTTCCCGCGCTAGTGGGACACGTTGTACATACAGGGTGGTTCTAAAATAGTGTTCCAAACTTCTGTTGCGTTTATAACTCATTAAAATCAGCCAAAAAATTCCTATTAACATGTTCCCTAAAATGCACCCTTAGGAAGTTATATGCCCTTAAAAGGGCTCAAACAAAACTGGTTTTTTTCTGTTATTGACAAAACGGTTGCAAATAAATAGAAAAAAATGAATGGGTTTTACATAAATTTTTACGTTAAATATCATGGGCTACTCCGTTTTTCGACATGCAAATCATATGCGTACCATTTAGGTTGGTGAAGGGTGTTTTCGGTCCGTAATTTTTTATTTCGTTTTTTTACAATTTTCTCTACAGATTTATAAAATCTTAACAATTTTACGTAAAAAATATTATCTTTGTCCAAATCGATATTTCCAATGGTTTTCGAGTAAATTGAGTTTGAAAATTACTCTGCTCTTTAAGTTATTAGGCCAAAAATTACAAAAATCTGTTTATCATGACAAATAAAAGACTGACGTTGCCACAACGCTTCACAATTTATACCGCATCGCTTCTGATGTATTTCCAGCCGCACGGCCGTACATAAAGTGCATATCTGCCATTTCCGTGTCCATTTTATGAGTTGCAATAATGTTGTATACTTAAATTTTCCACTCACCACTTTTACTAATTACACTGCAAAGCTCAATTGAGTTTATCAATAACTTAAATTGTTAAGCGTTGTGGCAACGTCAGGAGTAGCCCATGTTATTAAACGTAAAAAGTTATGTAAGACCCATAAATTTTTTTCTATTTATTTTCGACCGTTTTGTCAATAACAAAAAAAAAAACAGTTTTGTTTGAGCCCTTTTAAGAGCATATAACTTCCTAAGGGTGCGTTTTAGGGAACATGTTAATAAGAACTTTTTGGCTTATTTTAATGAGTTATAAACGCAGCAGAAGTTTGGAACCCTATTTTGGAAACACCCTGTATGTATTTTTGAAGGAAACTTAGTAAAAAGGGCAAATAAAATATTTTTTAGATAGAAAAACAATTATAATTCATATAGTCATGTAAGCCAGCATTTGACAATATCGTTTTTTGAAACTGTTGTCCTTTCCTTGAATTTTAATTTACATATAATTTATTTTTTTTGTTAATATTTGTAATGGGAAGAGAAGCTGCCTGATGAAACAATCCCAAGTAAAATGTGGAAACAAAAAGGTCTCTTTGTGGCAAGTGTTTTTTTTTTACAAAATAACCGTGACTAAACTAAAGTGACTAAAGTTTGTCAAAGATCACTTCATTTGATAAGATTTTTTTTTAATTTGTTTGAATTATCTTAATACCTTTACAAAAGAGTAAAAAATAATTCTGTTTTTTTTAACTTCTATATTTAGCTGTGTTCGATGTTTTTACACCATATTTCGAATAATAGTTGTGATAGGTTCTTCATTTAACAAAAAACAGCAGGAATTTATTTTGGTTTTAGAAACAGTGAAAAAGAGAAATTTTGATGTTTGATAGTTTAATTGAGTAGTTTATCCATAACAGCACGATATCCAACCTCAGCCATTTCACCAACGATTCAAAAAAGTATTGTTGGACTAGGAGCAAATTGAAGGATGTGTTAATTTGGAATAATGCTGTTAGTTATTAAATGTAAGATGTATCTTGGCAATGTGTCATAAATATTCAAAATGTTACCATGTCAATAATAAAGTGTTCCTTATATTTAAAATTCGTTGTATATTAATTTTAAAATAATTATGAATCATACAATGTTCATAATACATAAACAATTATTATCATTCAAAAAATGTCATTGGAAATATTTTAATATGATAAGAAAAATCGTATTTATATAAATAGTACTATTCACGATAAATGTGTTTTTACCTTAACTTCAAGGACTATTAATTCGTCAGAACATATCTGATAAAAAGGTGTTGACTATCAATCCTGAAGTATGTTATTGTCTTTATATATTAAAGCAGAAACCGATCAAATTCATATTAAATTTTCCACTTCTACTTCGTCTTTCTAATAGTGTTATAGTGCATACAATCAGATTTGGTATGATTTTTTTACACAATTTGTTGACTATTTATCTATGGAATTGTTTCCTTAGTGTATATTTTTATAAAAAAAAGATCTACAAAAGTGTATGAATGTGATGTAAAATTGATACCGTTTATTTTGTTCTAGGTTAAGGAGAAAATATGTCTTTATATTTTTCTATACTCTGTACTACAATATTATCAGCTTTTCTAGCCACAGTTCATTCAACCCCTCACAATGTGAGCGCTACTTCTTGTACCATCACAAAATATAATGCAGACAATATTTTGAACGCACAAAAAGAATGCTCTGAAATCATCCTTAAAGGACTAAGCGTTGCAGCCGGTAAAACTTTGGATCTAACCCATCTTCAGCAAGGCGCGAAGGTTACATTTGAAGGAACTACTACATGGGAATATAAAGAATGGACGGGTCCATTGATCAAGGTCAGCGGGACAGACGTGGAGATCACTGGTTCCTCTGACCACGTTCTCGATGGTAGAGGAAGTTTGTGGTGGGATGGACTGGGAGGAAATGGTGGCAAGAAGAAGCCAAAATTTATAACTCCAGTTAAAATGTATAATTCCAAAATCACGAACCTCAATATCAAGAACAGTCCTGTTCATGTATTTTCTATTAAACAGTGTGACGGCTTGACCCTGGACAATGTTAATATAGACGATAGAGATGGTGATACTCAAGGTGGACACAATACTGATGGTTTTGATATAGCTAGTTCAAACAATGTAGTCATTAAACGTAGTAGTGTCTACAGTCAAGACGATTGCTTAGCCGTAAAATCAGGTTCCAATTACGAATTCACTGACAATTACTGTGGTGGAGGTCATGGCATTTCCATAGGCTCTGTGGGTGACACCACAGTAGAATCTGTTTATGTCTCAAACTGTCGTGTTGAAGATTCTGCCAATGGAGTTAGAATTAAGACTGTGTACGGAGCAGTCGGATCTGTTAAAAAAATTACATTCGAAGCTGTTACCTTGAAGGACATTACAAATTATGGCATCATCATCGAAGGTGACTATCTAAATGGTGGGCCAACTGGTACGCCAACTGATGGTGTACCAATAACAGATTTAACTTTAAAAGATATTAGTGGGACCGTTCTAAGTTCAGGTACTAATGTTTATGTTTTGGTGGAAGCTGCTTCCGATTGGCACTGTTCGGGAATTGATGTGAGAGGTGGCGAAAATGTTAAGGAATGTCAAGGAATTCCGTCTGGATCGGGACTTTCTTGTTAATATTCTTTTTAGTTGTATTTGTGCAACAGTTTGGAAATACACATTTGAATGCATACAAATTCATTTACTTTTTACCTATATTTACAAATTGCACTCTGGTTAACTACATTGCAAAACAAAATATTATAATTGTAATCAATTTTTGCTCAGATGTTAACAATTCTGTTCAACAAGTTTACAAAATTCTTAACGATGTACATAAATAAAAATTTCGTAGTCCACTGAGTGTCCCACGGTGACGAGACATTATACATATTTCAGACTACTTCGATTTTAATTTTGAAAATTTAGGCAATACTGTTTTCGGACATGCCCTTCTTAACTAAAATAATGGCGTCCACCTAACGCTTCCGGTTATACCGGAAGTTTTCGTCATCTTCGTTATTTTAAATTGAACACCCTGTATATTATTGCAATTTTGGATTCTACTTCAATTTTTAGGTGAACTTTCATAATAGTTTCCTATTCTTAAAGTTAACCGTTTTTGATTTATTTAATTTTTTTCAAAAAAAAATAAATTAAAAAAGCACTGCCTAATTAAAAAAGATGTGTATTTACAATAATAGAGTTATAGCGATACAATTTGTGGGGAACATAACTAAAACTCTAAACTTCCCTGCCATAATTTCAAAATGACTTAATTTCATATAGGGTGGTAGAAATTTTAGCCGAATTTAGTCAACTTTAAACCATCTTAACTTTTTTTTAAGGGACACCCTGTATATTTTTGCGCAACCTGATGAACAATTTTGTTCTCTTTCGAATGGTATTTACTGTTTTTCGTGCAGTCAACGGATATCGCATAATTTCTTGCGAGGATGGCTGTGAATTTTTTAGTGGAACTTCAAAACAAGCACCAGTTTATTGTTATCAATTTAACACATACAGTGAATATTTATTTGAGTATTATTTATTGTTAAAGAATGGAAAACGTTATCATTTATTAAAATGCTGACATCTTGTAAGCGTATGTTCTAAAACTGTGGGGATAAAAATTGTTCAATGTATAGATATTCCCATTTTTACTTGAAAATACCGTCATCCGCTATATTCCACATGACTTTGTTCCGGTACGTCTCGATTGCTACCAATCTATTACAATCACTAACTATCTTAACTCATTTGCTCGATGACCACCGACCTGTTGATATTATATATCTAGGTTTTTCTAAGACATTTGACCTGATATCCAAATTACAACTTCTATTGAAACTAAATTTTTGCGGTAAAGATTAGAATTATGTAGACTGCTCTTTTTCAAATTGAGATGATGTCCATCCAGGAGAATCTCAAGGATTTGTATTGAGATCTACTAATACATTATTTATAATAAATCCTATCACATGTATTATGTAAACGACAACAAGCTTTACGTCAACTCATTCTAATGATAATGTAGTTCAAGCTGATGCAACTGCTATTATTGATATTTGGTGCAATCCAGGGTCTTTGCATCTCAATATCGGTAAGTATGCAAAGGTTCACCTCAGTTACAACAATCCAAACTGTAATCATCTGGTCATTCATGTTTGACTCTTGCGAAATATCTTTTCTCTGGTTTAATAAAATTATCAAAAACGGATATTTTACTAGAATACAATTAATAAAAAATAGACTTCAACACTTTTCAATTATTTCAAAAATTAATATTTTTGTATTATAACTATAGCCCACAGCACTTAAATATATCGTCTATATATACACAGGGTATTTCATTAAGGCCGGCCACCAGCTGTATATGGGAACCTATTGGTCCTACAGGTTCAAGGAAAATGTACTTCTGATAAAAGCGGCCATGAAAATTTCATTAAAATTTTTTCATATTCCGAAAACCTCCGCAAGAGGGCGCAACTGATCAAGAAATTTTTAAAATTGACTTTAAATGTAAAAATGCCTTATTAACGTGGATATATTTTTTATCAGTTTTAATCGATAGTCCATTTCCTAAAACTTTTTCCAGTGACATTTTTTATTTCCTCGATAAATGAAGTGATTTTCTTGCAATTATGATTGTTTATATTGCAATACCTTACAGATTTAATAAATGTTATAGTGCTGCCAAAAAGTTGGTTAATAAAGGTACAAAATGACGATATGTTGAAACCTAACCTATTTCTTAATTTTTCATGGATATTTCAAAAGGAACTTTTTTCTAAGTCATTATAATCAACATTTAGTTAAAATAAAATTGGTCAAAACCGCATCTCAATATCTCAAACCGTTTAGGAAATATTTTGATTTTCGTATTGGAGCTAAGAAAGGAGAATACATTTTTATTTATCCCCGTATAATTTCGAAACAAAACCTATATTTATTTGCTGTTTCGGTAATTACATATTATTTTACGAAAACTGGCCTCCCTTCACACTTTATTAAGGTTTAGGAACTCTCAGGCTCCCAACCTTTAACACATGCAAGCAATGAATCAATTGCTGCTAAGGCAAAAAGTATGATTTTTTATAAATTAATTAATTAAAATTGACTTAGAAAAAAGTATATCGTTCCATTTGAAATTTCCATGAAAAATTAAGAAATGGGTTAGGTTTCAACATATCTCCATTTTGTACCTTTATTAACCAAATTCTATAGGTACGACTGTAGAGTTAAACAAGTCGTCTATGTTCTGATTTGTTAATGCTGACCATTGTCAGCAAATCATAACATAGACCACACTACATTGTGTATTGGGTATATTCTTTTCGTATTTAATTTAAATGAAATTGAACTCTATATACAAACTATTACATTTCGGTTACAAATTAATTAAATAATAATAGTACGAACTGGCAGCACAACTGCGATCAAATTTAACATTTATGTTTGGGATTACATTATTAATTGAAAAATATGTCTCATTTTGATTATTTAATTAAGAATTCATTATTATAATTTGTATTTTTTGCTAGTTGATTGACTACCCAGACTACCCAATGACAAAAGCATTTGTTTAAAAAAATTGTGTAATTTACTTGTTTGTGTGAAACATTTGCAGTGGTATAAGAACGTGATCGACAACGCAACAAAATGCCGAATTCCCAGATCTATTGACCTCGGCATTCGCTACTGCTCCTTTGAGAATATCGCGTATCCTTCGAATACATTGACCCCGACTTATGCCAGTTTTCCCTCGATTCTTCACATTTGTCCCAGTAATGATACATTCAAGTGCAATATTGCAGGAAATACATATTCTATTACGACGAAAAATGTTTGGAACTTTGTTTACGAGTTGGAAACTCTCCAATAAATTTTATCACGTAACGAATATCAGAAACTGTATGTGATAGGTGACAGCATTTTATTTATTCTAGCGTGTGATTTTATAAAATGTTGTGGTAATATATTTTTATTTATCATGTATTATGTATGTTAGCTATTATTATAATATAGAATGTAGTGTTCCACAAAGGAAGGTGATACAATTTATCAACATACAAAAGTAAACGTCTTCTGATATGTAGTTTAATGAACATTTTTTATTATCACTCTAAAATTTCATTTTATGTGTGCCTACATTCAATATATCGAATCGAATCGATAGCATTTTAATAGCTGTTTTATATTTATTTTACAATTTAGTCATGAATAAATTCAGAAAGTTTGAATGAATTCATCAACTTGTTCATAAAGGGTTTGTCTATACACTGTTCTAAACTTCGTAAATCTCATTAAAACAAAATTAGCTACTATCAACTTTGCAGCCAAGTCATAGGAAATAACAACAACTAGAAAATGAATACCTATACTTCATGAAGAAATTGGTAAAGTAAAACACTAACATTTCTGTGAGTGTGATGCATGCTAATGACGTCAACGGAAACACGAGTTAACCTTCGCATCCATATTGATGCGAACAATGTTGTTCACTAATATCTATGAACAATATTAACAAAGTTTTCTAATATTTATAACAGCGTTTGCATCTTTAACATTGTTCGCTAACAATGTTCAGAGTACTTCGCGTTCACATGACGAGAACAATGCTCACTAATTCTGTTTGCTGTGTTCAAGAACAACATTAGCAAAGTTCGAAATTGTACATTTGCCTCTTAAAAATATTGATCGCTAATAAAATTCGATATTTTATCTGTAGGCGCCAAACTCGTGAGTATTATTACAGTATTTGTTAAGTACCCCCTGTTTTGGATCTTGTAAAAACATAGTAAACAGTACGGTAATAGTATATTACGTAATAAGTGTTGTAAAAAGTATTTTACGCACGAATGGAAAACTTATGCACGCACTGAAAGAAATGGGCTTATTAAACTGTTTATCTAGAATAATGTGTATAGCGCATATTAAAACTTTTATAACCAATATACAACTTTTATTAAAAAAAAGCAATCATCTCCATACTCATTATTCAATCAGTTTAACTGGAAGGTGCTTAATACACCTTATGCATCTATGAAATAAAGGTTATAATGAATTACTTATACATTATTAGGTGTTATAGACTTTATATTCCAGTTGTATAGTAGGGAAGATTTGTTGTATAAAGACCAGTATCCGAATTTGTATATAACAATTGTATTAACAGAATTATTCGTTCTTATACTGAATATGTTTCCGTTTTTAACGTGTAAAACGCATCTTATAATGGTTAAGTGATCGTCACCTCTCGGTGCATAATCGGTTATGATCGTTGTTAAGTTATATTCATAGTCTTGTAATAATAATCATATGTCAGACCCGAGAGCGAAGTGCGCCGACTCAATAAGAAACCTGGCTATTCCAGCCGCTGATTTAGGGTTCGCCGCACGAGCTCATCCCTTCTAAGATTTCAGTAGCATGCTATGCATGAAGCAGAACGGTACTCAACTATCTTATACAGTCCACTTTTATTGTCCATACATGTTCAATCATTGTCAAAATAAACACACAAAACCACAACGTCTTTATTATCTTTACTCAAGAAGAGAAAATACAACAATCGTAAAATTTCCGACAGTCCGCTGTGCATCGACTTACACACGTCTAGTTTGATGAAAATGGACAGTATATGCACATGTTTTGTGGGATACATGATCATATCGCGTTGTGTGAAATGGAAAA